AAAGGGTTCTCAGTTTTGTATAAACAGAGGGCATGGTCCCCCTGGGGGCAGAGGGGCAGGGCCAAAGAGGGGGAAAATAGGTAAATCTTTAAAAAAAAACCTGCTTCTTCTCAACCAATAAAAGGATTTTGACCAAATTTGTTCTAGAGCATCTTTGGACAAAGGAGCCTCAAGTTTGAATAAATGTAGGTTGTGGCCCTTCTGGGGGTGGAGGGGCGGGGCCCAATAGAGGAAATAGAGGTTTTTTTTCTCTCCTACTATACAAGTGAAGAAATTTAAACCAAATGCAGTCTGAAGCATGCTTAGGGACAAAAGAATCAATTTTGTTTAAACTGAGGTGTGTGGACCCACTTCTTTGGGACAGATGAGTGGGGCCCATTAGTGGAAATAGAGGAAAACATTAAAGATCCTTCTCCTTCTGTACCATTGAGGGGATTTTAACCAAATTTGTTCTAGAGAATCTTTGGGCAAAGGGAATTGAATATTTATAAATTTGTTTAATTTGTATAAAAAGGTGCATGTTTCTTGTACTCCTTTGATAAACCTATATGGTACTCAGCAGGTTTTAAATTGAAAAATAAAATACCAGATGAGCTATTAAGGCCCGTTGGCCTCTTGTTGGGATATACCATGGTGATAATATTTTTAGGAAAAATTACACAATTTTTGATTTTCTTTTTAGTTATTTGAGTTCTTCAGCAATATACATATGTCAGAGACATGTACATTTAATATAAGGGATGCTACTGTTTAAGGGCCCTGGGTTCAACCACAATTGTTTTACATTTCATGTTTATTTTCCCTATTGTATGATAAATATCTACCTTAAACATCAACAGGGCCACAACCAAATAAATATTTCCTTATAACTGTTAATTTAGTAAGACAATACTTCCTCACCAGCTGACAGCTTACTATATGAGCTCCTACAGTGTATCCATGTTATAAAAAACACCTGAAAGCTGACTGCTGAATTATCTGGAGTGAATCTATAGTGAAAAAAAACCCAGCTTACTATTTAAGCCCCTAAAGCTTAATTCTGAAGCCGCTGTAGTGAATTGACCTTTGACAGAGAACAAGCTGCAGCTCACCATTGGCACCCCAGCAGTGAAATAGTTTACCGTTGAAGACCCTAGAGTGAGCAAGTTTACAGCCAGCCTACCACTGAAACCCTTGGTGTGAATCAAAGGGAAGAAACTCACAGCTTATTTATACCATTAAAATCTCCACAGTGAAAGCTAAATGGACCAAATATTCAACTTACCATTGAAGCTCATGCAGTGAATTGAATAAAGAAACTTGCATCTTATGTATATAATTACCATGGAATCTACAGTCAAATTACCATTGAAATCCCTACTGTTAAAATTACAGTGAACAAAAAATTCAACTGACCATTGTAGACAAGGAAGTCATTCAGAGTGAACAAGCTTAGAAATTACTATTGAAGCCCATTCTTTGAATCTACAGTGAACAAGCTAAGACATTACTATTGGAGCCGATTCTTGGAATCTGCAGTGAACAAGCTTAGACATTACTATTGAAGCCCATTCTTTGAATCTACAGTGAACAAGCTTAGACTTTACCATTGAAGCTGACTCTTTGAATCTACAGTGAACAAGCTTAGACATTACTATTGAAGCCGATTCTTTGAATCTACATTGAACAAGCTTAGACATTACTATTGAAGCCCATTATTTGAATCTACAGTGAACAAGCTTAGACATTACTATTGAAGCCCATTCTTTGAATCTACAGTGAACAAGCTTAGACATTACTATTGAAGCCAATTCTTGAATCTACAGTGAACAAGCTTAGACATTACTATTGAAGCCGATTCTTTGAATCTACAGTGAACAAGCTTAGACTTTACCATTGAAGCCCATTCTTTGAATCTACATTGAACAAGCTTAGACTTTACTATTGAAGCCGATTCTTGGAATCTACAGTGAACAAGCTTAGACATTACCATTGAAGCTGATTCTTTGAATCTACGGTGAACAAGCTTAGACATTACTATTGAAGCCGATTCTTTGAATCTACATTGAACAAGCTTAGACTTTACTATTGAAGCCGATTCTTTGAATCTTCAGTGAACAAGCTTAGACATTACTATTGAAGTCGATTCTTTGAATGTACGGTGAACAAGCTTAGACATTACTATTGAAGCCAATTCTTTGAATCTTCAGTGAACAAGCTTAGACATTACTATTGAAGTCGATTCTTTGAATCTACATTGAACAAGCTTAGACTTTACTATTGAAGCCGATTCTTTGAATCTACAGTGAACAAGCTTAGACATTACTATTGAAGCCCATACAGTGAAACAGTCTACTGATGAATCCCCTGGAATGAACATGCCTTACAGTTTATCACTGATATAGAAGTTCCTACAGTGGAAAATATAGAAAAATATATACACATTTATACACCATCACTAAAAGAGCTACACTAAAACAATTAAGTAAGGCATTGCCTTTAAATATCATTAACTAAAACTTTTTTATAAGCCTTGCAAGTTGTAGATGTATTTCAAGAAAGTATGATGGCTTTATTCACTTCCTTTGATATAAATTTGTTACAATTGACATAAATATTATAAAACATGGCAACATGGATATCTTTTCCAGAATGTTGTGTAACATGGTTATCTGTCTTTTCCAGAATGTTGTGTAACATGGTTATCTGTCTTTTCCAGAATGTTGTGTAACATGGATATCTATCTTTTCCAGAATGTTGTATAACATGGATATCTATCTTTTCCAGAATGTTGTGTAACATGGTTATCTGTCTTTTCCAGAATGTTGTGTAACATGGATATCTATCTTTTCCAGAATGTTGTATAACATGGATATCTATCTTTTCCAGAATGTTGTGTAACATGGTTATCTATTTTTTCCAGAATGTTGTGTAACATGGTTATCTGACATTTCCAGAATGTTGTGTAACATGGTTATCTATCTTTTCCAGAATGTTGTGTAACATGGATATCTATCTTTTCTAGAATGTTGTGTAGTACATGGATATCTATCTTTTCCAGAATGTTGTATAACATGGTTATCTGTCTTTTCCAGAATGTTGTATAAAATGGTTATCTGTCTTTTCCAGAATGTTGTGTAACATGGATATCTATCTTTTCCAGAATGTTGTGTAACATGGATATCTGTCTTTTCCAGAATGTTGTGTAACATAGATATATATCTTTTCCAGAATGTTGTGTAACATGGATATCTGTCTTTTCCAGAATGTTGTATAACATGGATATCTATCTTTTCCAGAATGTTGTGTAACATGGATATCTATCTTTTTCAGGATGTTGTGTTCAAAAAGGTGATGGCAGAATTGAAGGAAAATCCTGGGAGTCGGGATGGATCGGGCATGGAGGATGGGCCCATCCCTGTTGGGACGAGAGTACGGAGGGGCCGGGACTGGGTCTGGGATGATCAGGATGACAACATGGCTGGTACTGTCATTGGACACAAACAACGAGGTAGGGAATGTATTATATTGAAGACATGTGTTTTGTTGTAGATTTGAGAATCTTCTAACACAAATTTCAGCCTGTTTTTTATCATGGTTGCATTTATGTTTTAGTTTACTGTTGTCAGCACAATGAAAAGAAAAATGTGGGTTATTACAAATATCGGAGTTATAATAGGGAAAATGACTGTCAGGAATCAAGACCTTACTTTCAGGAAAGCTATTCTGGCTGTCAGAGGTGAACTGATGAGTATTCAGGCTGTCTGAGTCTGTTACTGTAATAAGAAAAACGGATTACTCTCTCCAATGTACAAGACATACATATTCCATGCGGAGAGTGCTCTTGTAGGATGTATGTACTTGAACACCTCTAGTTCAGGAACTACTTTTTTCTTCTAAATCCTGACTAAGAAGTCTATAAAAACAAAACAGTTGAATAAAATTGTAAAGTAACTTGTCATCTGATATTCTGAAACCTGACGTCATCTCAGTTAGATTATCTGTTAAGCAGAATTATCTACCAGCCAAGTCAGTAACTGATAGTACCCCACAGAAATGAACATTTAATTAACAGTCTTCTTGTGAAGCCGCACACTTCTTTAATTCTAAGGTATTACCAGACTTCTTTGTACAATTTCTAAGCATATTCTTGGTTGAGAAAACGTACTACATATAGAGCACTCTATATATATCTTATTGCATAAGTGGTGACATTGTCAAATTTTACCAAAACTCTGAGATGGGAAAAATAAATAAGAAAAGTAATTATGTAGTTTATGGAAATTGTAACCTTGGATATAAAATTCTATATCTCCTGTAACTGTATATGATATATTCTATTATTTCTAACAATATAAGTCTCATCAATATAAAGCCAAGCTCTTTATAAAACCATCATTCTGCTGGAAACATGATGATAGTATAACACTGTCACTGTTTTACTTTAATTCTGGAAGAATTCTGAAGTAATTTGTATCTTTCTATACTCCAAACTTGATTTGATCTTCTGTGCTTTGTCTAACATTTGGTGACCTTGTGACCTTGTGACCTTTCTACAGGATTAGTTGCTGTAGAATGGGACAGTGGACGAAAGGGAAAGTACCGAATGGGATCCGAAGACTCGTTTGACCTACGAAGTGTGGATGAGCCACGTTTTCTACCAGAAGGCACGCTGGGAGCTGTAGGAGTGTGTTGCAGAAGAGGTGAAACAATAACTAAATCTATTGATATATAATTATGTCTCCCCTTCGAATGAAGGGAGACATATTGTATTAGTACTGGTTCTTCTTCTGGTTCTTCTCCTGGTTCTTCTAACTTGTCCGGGCCATAATTTTGTAACCGATAAAGATATCTTGATGAAACTTGAGATATGCATGTATCACCCACATGAGGTGTGTAGTGCACTGGAATTAGGTCACTGTGACCTTCACCTCAAGGTCAAAGGTCAAATAAGTGCAACATTTTCAGTAAATTCTTGTCCGGCCTGTAAATTTTAAACCGTTAAAGATAACTTGATCAAACTTGAAGTATACCTGCATTACCCACAGAGGTTGTGCAGTGCAATAGAATTAGGTCTTGTGCCCCACCATATGCAGAGTTATGGCCCTTTGTTTAATTTTATAACCAAAGTTTGTCCAGAGCATAAGTTCCATGTTTTTCACCTACGTTGACCAAACTTGCTATAGTTATGTATCTTTGGAAGTAGGAGTGTCGCATTCTGAAATGGGGTCTTGTGCCCCACTATATAAAGAGATATGGCCCTTTGTTATTTTTTTATACTGAAGTTTGTCTATTGGCTAATAAGGGGAGACATGTTTTTGTCACAAAAACAAGTTTCTAGTTTGTTGAAAAATTGTTTAAAAAATAAATACAGCTGTAATATGAAAAAATTGGGTGAGAAAATACAAACATTCTAATTAGTTTTCTTGTCCTTTAGTAAAACTAATGGTAACACAGTGTATATCAATTTAAGGGCCAATTTGGTACAAACTACATCAGTTCAAATAGGTGCATGCATAAGATAAGTGTACTGTTAGTTGTTTGCTTTCGAACTTTGAACCTATAATTTTTTATCCTTATTTTGATTTTGTCAGGACCTGACTGGGAATGGGAAAACCAAGATGGTGGGGAAGATCAAATCGGAGTTGTCTTCAAGATTGAGGACAATGGTGTCATTCATGTAAGTTCAAATCTGGATGCATTATAGATAATTCCAAGAAATGTATATGTAATCATTATGTAAGTAAAAGAGAAGCGGCCCGGTCTTGAATTCACCTTTCCATGACTGTACTTGTGCTGATAAGCAGGACCTGCTTGGCAGGACGTCGTCGGAGCACAGCTATTTGGTGAATGTTACATGGTGATGGTGAAGTAACAATGAAAGTGATTTGTCCAGACTGGTATATACATGTATGTCAGGTGTCAAATCTTCATACATAAGTGTACACAACAGCAGCTGGAACAATGATAAATACACAACAGCAGTTGGAACAATGATAAATACACAACAGCAGCTGGAACAATGATAAATACACAACAGCAGCTGGAACAATGATAAATACACAACAGCAGGTGTGTGGAGATGTTATACAGAGTAGAGATGTTATACAAAGTACAGATGTTATACAATGTAGAGTATGTTATACAATGTAGAGTATGTTATACAATGTACTATGTAGAGTATGTTATACTATGTGGAATATGTTATACTACATTTGTATATAGAGTTTGTTATATTATGTAGAGTTTGTTATATTATGTAGAGTATATTATACTATGTGGAGTATGTTATACAATTTTAGAGTATATTATACTATGTGGAGTATGTTATACAATGTAGAGGATATTATACTATGTAGAGTATGTTATACAATGTAGAGTATGTTATACTATGTGGAGTATGTTATACTACATTTGTATGTAGAGTTTGTTATATTATGTAGAGTATGTTATACTATGTAGAGTATGTTATACAATGTAGAGTATGTTATACTATGTGGAGTATGTTATACTACATTTGTATGTAGAGTTTGTTATATTATGTAGAGTATGTTATACTATGTAGAGTATGTTATACAATGTAGAGTATGTTATACTATGTGGAGTATGTTATACTACATTTGTATGTAGAGTTTGTTATATTATGTAGAGTATGTTATACTATGTAGAGTATGTTATACAATGTAGAGTATGTTATACTATGTGGAGTATGTTATACTACATTTGTATGTAGAGTTTGTTATATTATGTAGAGTATGTTATACTATGTAGAGTATGTTATACAATGTAGAGTATGTTATACTATGTGGAGTATGTTATACTACATTTGTATGTAGAGTTTGTTATATTATGTAGAGTATGTTATACTATGTAGAGTATGTTATACTATGTAGAGTATGTTATACAATGTAGAGTATGTTATACTATGTGGAGTATGTTATACTACATTTGTATGTAGAGTTTGTTATATTATGTAGAGTATGTTATACTATGTAGAGTATGTTATACTATGTAGAGTATGTTATACAATGTAGAGTATGTTATACTATGTGGAGTATGTTATACTACATTTGTATGTAGAGTTTGTTATATTATGTAGAGTATGTTATACTATGTAGAGTATGTTATACAATTTTAGAGTATATTATACTATGTGGAGTATGTTATACAATGTAGAGTATGTTATACTATGTAGAGTATGTTATACAATGTAGAGTATGTTATACTATGTGGAGTATGTTATACTACATTTGTATGTAGAGTTTGTTATATTATGTAGAGTATGTTATACTATGTAGAGTATGTTATACAATTTTAGAGTATATTATACTATGTGGAGTATGTTATACAATGTAGAGTATGTTATACTATGTAGAGTATGTTATACAATGTAGAGTATGTTATACTATGTGGAGTATGTTATACTACATTTGTATGTAGAGTTTGTTATATTATGTAGAGTATGTTATACTATGTAGAGTATGTTATACAATTTTAGAGTATATTATACTATGTGGAGTATGTTATACAATGTAGAGTATATTATACTATGTAGAGTATGTTATACAATGTAGAGTATGTTATACTATGTGGAGTATGTTATACTACATTTGTATGTAGAGTTTGTTATATTATGTAGAGTATGTTATACTATGTAGAGTATGTTATACAATTTTAGAGTATATTATACTATGTGGAGTATGTTATACAATGTAGAGTATATTATACTATGTAGAGTATGTTATACAATGTAGAGTATGTTATACTATGTGGAGTATGTTATACTACATTTGTATGTAGAGTTTGTTATAGTATGTAGAGTATGTTATACTATGTAGAGTATGTTATACTATGTAGAGTATGTTATACTATGTAGAGTATGTTATACTATGTAGAGTATGTTATACTATGTAGAGTATGTTATACTATGTAGAGTATGTTATACTATGTAGAGTATGTTATACTATGTAGAGTATGTTATACTATGTAGAGTATGTTATACTATGTAGAGTATGTTATACTATGTAGAGTATGTTATACTATGTAGAGTATGTTATACTATGTAGAGTATGTTATACTATGTAGAGTATGTTATACTATGTAGAGTATGTTATACTATGTAGAGTATGTTATACTATGTAGAGTATGTTATACTATGTAGAGTATGTTATACTATGTAGAGTATGTTATACAATGTAGAGTATGTTATACTATGTGGAGTATGTTATACTACATTTGTATGTAGAGTTTGTTATATTATGTAGAGTATGTTATACTATGTAGAGTATGTTATACTATGTAGAGTATGTTATACAATGTAGAGTATGTTATACTATGTGGAGTATGTTATACTACATTTGTATGTAGAGTTTGTTATATTATGTAGAGTATGTTATACTATGTAGAGTATGTTATACAATTTTAGAGTATATTATACTATGTGGAGTATGTTATACAATGTAGAGTATATTATACTATGTAGAGTATGTTATACAATGTAGAGTATGTTATACTATGTGGAGTATGTTATACTACATTTGTATGTAGAGTTTGTTATATTATGTAGAGTATGTTATACTATGTAGAGTATGTTATACTATGTAGAGTATGTTATACAATGTAGAGTATGTTATACTATGTGGAGTATGTTATACTACATTTGTATGTAGAGTTTGTTATATTATGTAGAGTATGTTATACTATGTAGAGTATGTTATACTATGTAGAGTATGTTATACAATGTAGAGTATGTTATACTATGTGGAGTATGTTATACTACATTTGTATGTAGAGTTTGTTATATTATGTAGAGTATGTTATACTATGTGGAGTATGTTATACTACATTTGTATGTAGAGTTTGTTATATTATGTAGAGTATATTATACTATGTAGAGTTTGTTATATTATGTAGAGTATGTTATACAATGTAGAGTTTGTTATATTATGTAGAGTATGTTATACTATGTGGAGTATGTTATACTACATTTGTATGTAGAGTATGTTATATTATGTAGAGTATATTATACTATGTAGAGTATGTTATACTATGTAGAGTTTGTTATATTATGTAGAGTTTGTTATACTATGTGGAGTATGTTATACTATGTGGAGTATGTTATACTACATTTGTATGTAGAGTATTTTATATTATGTAGAGTATGTTATATTATGTAGAGTATATTATACTATGTAGAGTTTGTTATATTATGTAGAGTTTGTTATACTATGTGGAGTATGTTATACTACATTTGTGTGTAGAGTATGTTATATTATGTAGAATATATTATACTATGTAGAGTTTGTTTTACAATGTAGAGTATGTTATATTATGTAGAGTATGTTATTCTGTATCTTTAGAAATGGGTACTATTGAAAAGAATGTCATCGAAATGAGATAAAATATTTATTTTCTTTTAGGGATTTGAAAAGGAAAATATAGATTACAAAAGTACTAGTGCACTATTTCAGCAGATATAAATTATTTTAAATTTTTGCTTTGTGATCAAAGGTACGATGGCAGAATGGTAAACGAGGAAACTACAGATATGGCATACATGGAAAATTTGACATAGAAATGTGGTAAGTCCTTGTATTGAACTATTACACCTTCAAGTCATTCTGTATAAATATTATTATAAGTAGAGAAAAATTGTTGCTTGTGAAAGATATATATGGACTATTGTGATGAAAAATACTATGAGCCATTCTTATTCAGAAAAAAATAAGAATATGTTTCAAATTATCCATTGTGCTTGAAGAAAAAAGATAGTTTTCAGCAGAAAACAGGTAACATGTTTGTGACATCAAGAATTGGAAATGATCGAGAAATCTGCAAATGTGTTCATAAATTTTAACAGATTTTGGTCAAATAATCATCAAGCTTGGAAATACCACAAAATTAGTTTGTGTTTCGGGGTACCAAGGTCAAGACTATGGTCACTTTCTATTTATAGAAATCATCAACCAGTTTAATGTCATCACTCCAGTGTGATCAAATTTCAATCTCAGCAGTTTTTAATAAAACTTTGTACATGTAGTATTTAAAAAAGACACAAATATTCAACAGAATTCTTTCGTATAATTTGTGACATCTTGTTTCTACAGCCCAGGAAGGAGGCCAGTCCAGAGTGGAGCATCGAGTGAAACACAGAACTCACCCCCTGTCAAAAGTAAGGAACATTGCTAGGATTTAAATTGAGAAGTTAACAATTTGGTGCTGTGACCAGGATTTAGATTGAGAAGTGTAAATTTTGGTGCTGTGACCAGATTTAGATTGAGAAGTGTAAATTTTGGTGCTGTGACCAGGTTTAGATTGAGAAGTGTATATTTTGGTGCTATGACCAGGTTTAGATTGAGAAGTGTAAATTTTGGTGCTTTGACCAGGATTTAGATTGTGAAGTGTACTTTTTTGTGCTGTGACCAGGTTTAGATTGAGAAGTGTATATTTTGGTGATATGACCAGGATTTAGGTTGAGAAGTGTACATTTTGGAACCTATGACCAGGATTTAGATTGAGAAGTGTACAATTTGGTACTGTAACAGGTTTAAATTGAGAAGTGTATGTTTTGGTGCTTTGACCAGGTTTAGATTGAGAAGTGTACAAATTGGTACTGTGGCCAGGTTTAAATTGAGAAGTGTATATTTTGGTGCTTTGACCAGTTTTAGATTGAGAAATGTACATTTTGGTGCTATGACCAGGATATAGATTTAAAACTATATATTTTAGTGCTGTGACCAGGATTTAGATTGAGATGTGTACATTTTGGTGTTGTGACCAGGATTTAGATTGAGATGTGTACATTTTGGTGTTGTGACCAGGATTTAGATTGAGAAGTGTATATTTTGGTGCTGTGACCAGGATTTAGATTGAGAAGTTTATATTTTGGTGCATTGACCAGGTTTAGATTGAGAAGTGTATATTTTGGAACCTTGACCAGGTTTAGATTGAGAACTGTATATTTTGGTGCTGTGACCAGGATTTAGATGGAGAAGTTTATATTTTGGTGCATTGACCAGGTTTAGATTGAGAAGTGTATATTTTGGTACCGTGATCAGGCTTTAGATTGAGAAGTGTATATTTTGGTACCGTGACCAGGTTTAGATTGAGAACTGTACATTTTTGTGCTGTGACCAGGTTTACATTGAGAAGTGTACATTTTGGCGCTGTGACCAGGTTCACATTGAGAAGTGTACATTTTTGTGCTGTGACCAAGTTTACATTGAGAAGTGTACATTTTGGCGCTGTGACCAGGATTTAGGTTATATGGTGTGAAATGCACCTTTAATATCTGCAGTGCAACTGAAGGTTTTGTAGATAGGATCATGAATTGTAGTTAAGGTAAAAATAAATATTTGAGTCAGATTAAGGACCTTGATTTGGTCAGGATAATTTCTAAATTTGTTTCTTATTAGGAGATTCATATGCATGTAAGTTTAGAGTGAGAAAATGTCTATGGATTCTGGTACAAAGAGATGTATAGATTTTGATGGTCTAACTAAGGTTGAGTACCCTATGTTGTAAGTGACTAAGAATGTGTGTACTGAGTGATGTTTTTGTGTTACAGCCACCAGGACACGAGTACAGTGGCAGTGGGAGGTAGAACAAGGGTCGTGGATGGACCACAGCACACAGGCTTCCAACAAGATCGAGGATCTGCACGTGAAGAGAGGCCGGGGCACCACTCTGGTTGACATTGACGGACAATCGTAAGTATATACACATGTGGTGTATGAACGAACAATCGTAAGTATATACACATGTGGTGTATGAACGAATATTAAACTAGCTAAATGTGCATGAACATAATGTACTTTTACTTGATAGCAATCCTCTTTCAATGTCTGTTTTCATTTTTCACACTAAATATACTCTTTTTGTTGTCTTGGTTTCTTGTTAGAACCAAAAAGATTAAGAAATGCCAGATAATCAAAAACAACTTTTGTTTGTCTAGGTATCGAGTTGTAATCCAGAACAAGAAACAGAGGAACACAGTGTCAGGTGTGGAAAACACCATCAGGAGACAAGGTAAGTTATTATACAGTGTCTGGTGTGGAAAACACCATCAGGAGACAAGGTTAGTTACTATACAGTGTCTGGTGTGGAAAACACCATCAGGAGACAAGGTTAGTAACTATACAGTGTCTGGTGTGGAAAACACCATCAGGAGACAAGGTTAGTAACTATACAGTGTCTGGTGTGGAAAACACCATCAGGAGACAAGGTTAGTAACTATACAGTGTCTGGTGTGGAAAACACCATCAGGAGACAAGGTTAGTAACTATACAGTGTCTGGTGTGGAAAACACCATCAGGAGACAAGGTTAGTAACTATACAGTGTCTGGTGTGGAAAACACCATCAGGAGACAAGGTTAGTAACTATACAGTGTCTGGTGTGGAAAACACCATCAGGAGACAAGGTTAGTAACTATACAGTGTCTGGTGTGGAAAACACCATCAGGAGACAAGGTTAGTAACTATACAGTGTCTGGTGTGGAAAACACCATCAGGAGACAAGGTTAGTAACTATACAGTGTCTGGTGTGGAAAACACCATCAGGAGACAAGGTTAGTAACTATACAGTGTCTGGTGTGGAAAACACCATCAGGAGACAAGGTTAGTAACTATACAGTGTCTGGTGTGGAAAACACCATCAGGAGACAAGGTTAGTAACTATACAGTGTCTGGTGTGGAAAACACCATCAGGAGACAAGGTTAGTAACTATACAGTGTCTGGTGTGGAAAACACCATCAGGAGACAAGGTTAGTAACTATACAGTGTCTGGTGTGGAAAACACCATCAGGAGACAAGGTTAGTAACTATACAGTGTCTGGTGTGGAAAACACCATCAGGAGACAAGGTTAGTAACTATACAGTGTCTGGTGTGGAAAACACCATCAGGAGACAAGGTTAGTAACTATACAGTGTCTGGTGTGGAAAACACCATCAGGAGACAAGGTTAGTAACTATACAGTGTCTGGTGTGGAAAACACCATCAGGAGACAAGGTTAGTAACTATACAGTGTCTGGTGTGGAAAACACCATCAGGAGACAAGGTTAGTAACTATACAGTGTCTGGTGTGGAAAACACCATCAGGAGACAAGGTTAGTAACTATACAGTGTCTGGTGTGGAAAACACCATCAGGAGACAAGGTTAGTAACTATACAGTGTCTGGTGTGGAAAACACCATCAGGAGACAAGGTTAGTAACTATACAGTGTCTGGTGTGGAAAACACCATCAGGAGACAAGGTTAGTAACTATACAGTGTCTGGTGTGGAAAACACCATCAGGAGACAAGGTTAGTAACTATACAGTGTCTGGTGTGGAAAACACCATCAGGAGACAAGGTTAGTAACTATACAGTGTCTGGTGTGGAAAACACCATCAGGAGACAAGGTTAGTAACTATACAGTGTCTGGTGTGGAAAACACCATCAGGAGACAAGGTTAGTAACTATACAGTGTCTGGTGTGGAAAACACCATCAGGAGACAAGGTTAGTAACTATACAGTGTCTGGTGTGGAAAACACCATCAGGAGACAAGGTTAGTAACTATACAGTGTCTGGGTTGGAAAACACCATCAGGAGACAAGGTTAGTAACTATACAGTGTCTGGTGTGGAAAACACCATCAGGAGACAAGGTTAGTAACTATACAGTGTCTGGGTTGGAAAACACCATCAGGAGACAAGGTTAGTAACTATACAGTGTCTGGTGTGGAAAACACCATCAGGAGACAAGGTTAGTAACTATACAGTGTCTGGGTTGGAAAACACCATCAGGAGACAAGGTTAGTAACTATACAGTGTCTGGTGTGGAAAACACCATCAGGAGACAAGGTTAGTAACTATACAGTGTCTGGGTTGGAAAACACCATCAGGATACATGGTTAGTTACTATAAGAACTGAAACAAATGTCTCTATAATACCTCAATGAAGAGATTCTTCCACACAAGTATGTATAGTATTTTAATGGTAATAAGCCCATGCCTGGTAATAAGCCCATCCCCCTTTTTTTCACTTTCCGTGCATGGGTGGTTGTGGGGTTAGGCCAGTATTAAGCCCACTCAGCCACCTTCCTTGGAGTAATATTGCAGGTTTGTTAGATCTGTGAAATTCTTTCTACCAATAAAATAGCATGGCAAGCCACATAGAGTAGACTTGTTCATTGTTCTTAAATAGTAACCAAAGCTCTAGATCTCTATGATTTAAAACTGAATCGTGAAGATTTTCTCATGATGTTGTGTTGTAAAAATATTGAAATATTGAAATTATTTAATTGCTTTTTCTTTTGAGGTACAAATAGTTCATCTTCTTTGGGTTTTTTCAGAAATAGAAGAAACATAATAAAAACAAGAAGACCAGAGTCAATACGCTGTGAAATGATAAAAGGATTCGGAGGATTGAACTCCTTTTGTGAAAGATTTGTATATAAGACTGTTACTTGTGCTGAATTTGTGATAGACAGGAAAAAAATTCAAAGAATAATGTTTGATTTCTCATGCATGTACTTCACTGGTTTGATTAACAATATATGCTGAGTTTATAAATAATGTCATATATGTTGAACATATAAATCTACATGTATATCAAGGGTCATAATATAGGAGAAATGTATGAAGATTGTTTTGATGTAGCCATCTGTATGTATCATCCCCGATCTATCTTTATTTGAGACAAACGTAAGAAAAAAGAAAAAATCCATGCTCATTGTTGTTTATGCTTCTTACCCATAATAGAAAGTACAAAGGGCAATGATTCTCACACAAGTGTTAGTTTTTAACAGCTTTTAATCTAATTTTAATAACTTACAATTACTCCTGTTGACGGGGATTGTGGCATGCAGAAATTCCTATTGATGTTGAAGGAAACCAGAATCGCTGGGTAAAATACACCAGATTTGGGAGACCCATGACTTGTCAAGTCCAGTTAGGGAATAGAACTTCGGCCATCTTGGCGAGTGTGCTATCAACTGCACCACCAAACCACCCATGTCCTAGACTTACACTAGTCCTAAACCATCACTAGTCTTTTAAAGGTTGGTCCTTAGTAACACCTTTCCCCATTTACTGTAAAGCATGGTTATAACGAAACCCAAGGGACCTAATTTATCATTTTGTTATAAAGATAGTTTGTATTACGTTTATACCAAATTTTGTTTTTGTTATTTTTTAAAAATATCACGATTTGAAAATATTTATACAGTCAACAGAAACTGAACTAAACACACATATTTTTCAAAATAGTAATTAATGTGTCACACTGAGACATCTAAGAATGGATTAACAACTCAACACCTACATTGTCATCCAAAACCCAACTCATTTGATACGGTAGTCTGGTTATACACATACAAAGCACATGCAAGCAATTGCTACATAAAACGCAACTCACTGTGTTCAATAGTTGTACAAAACATGTAAAGCCCCTATCTCACATACACGATTTAAGAAATTGCAAACACGATTTAAGAAAAGTTGAAAAAATTGTGTTGATTCGTGCTCAACTTTGTGGTTTATGCAAATTTCTTAACCAAACACGATCCTCAAACAACCAAAAACGATCCTCATACGACCCTCATACAACCTTCATACGACTGAACACGACACACATACGACCGTCGTAAGATATTCATACGATACAATACGATTTAACCTCATTTAACCCGACCCCAATACGACTGTCATACAACCAAACACGACTGTCATACGACTTAACACGAACGCTATACGATTAAACACAAATCATTACGATCTCAATACGACTACGCAAGACCTTCGTACGACATATTTTTGTTTATTTTGGTCGCGTGGGTCATGTTGTATATAAGCTGCATTGCAACAGAATTTCTGTGTCAGTCTTCACCATGTTCAACAACGAACAAGACCCGAAAGAAGCAGCTTTGGAGGAGGAGGGAGTACTTCTGGTAGATATGGCTTTAATGGTGAGGGGTAGGAGGCAGCGTAGGCGTCGCAGAATGAGGAACAGGAAGAGATTCTGGGTTCGACCATGGTTGTTGAGGAGACCTCTTTATGGGCAGTATGAACACCTAATGCAAGAACTGTATCGTGAAGATGTGAATACGTTTACAACCTTCTTGCGTGTCACTCCGGAGATGTTTATGGAGCTAGTAGAAGAGGTCATGCTGACACCAAAAACCCCAGAGGCTTGGAAGGAGGTGGCTGATGAGTTTTCAACAAGATGGAACTTTCATAACCCTCTTGGCGCAATAGATAGAAAACATGTAGCTATAAAATGTCCACGAAATTCAGGCTCTTTTTATTATAACTATAAGAGTTTCTACTGTATCATACTCCTCACAATAGTTGACGCTGCATACAAGTTTCTGTATGTTGACATTGGGGCAAATGGTAGTTGCTCAGATGGTGGTGTCTTCAAGGACTGCGACATCTATCAGGCACTGGACCAAGGTACTGCAGGTCTTCCAGGACCACAACCTCTTCCAAACGATGATCAACCCCTGCCATTCGCAATTATAGGAGATGATGCCTTCGCTCTACGTCACTTGGGTTGATGGATGAAATTGATGTTTTTTTCTTCTTATTTGGTCTGCCTTTCTTGGTTGGTTTGGGTCCGGTTAGCTCAGCGGTACCAGCGACACCATCATGATCTGGCCCGGTTAGCACAGTGGTAGATTCAGTGGTAGATTGATGCGAAATGTCTTCAGAGGAGATGAAGGTGGAGGTGATGGTGATGGAATATTGAAATGACTATACTCCTGCTCAGATGGCTGCTCAGATGGCTGGATGTCAGTTTCAGTTGTTGCTTTTGTTGTTGTTGGCGATTTTGGTGGTGGTTCAGAGGTTTCAGCTGGCTCATCTTGTCCCTGGGTACCGGGTGGATGTTCATCCATGGTTGGTGGTGAAGGATGTTTCCCTTTCAAAGGTTTTGCTTGGAGGAGCTTCCGTTTCGGCCGCCTGAGGTTTGACATGGCTATATAATGAGCTTTCACTTTCAGGGGGTTTCCCACGTTCTCACCCAGTCACGTGATGGGCTCTTCCGGTCGTATGACAAACGTATGGATTTTGGTTCAGGCGTATGGGAGTCGTATGAAAAGCATATGAAAGTAGTGTTGAATTGTGTTAAAAAGTATGAAGGTCGTTTGAGTTTCTTCCCACACTCCCAAACAAAAATGAACGCGACTGAACACGTTCTTCATACGATTGAACACGATCTTCATACGATTGAACACGACTGTCATATGACCTTCATAAGACTGAACACTACTTTTCAGCTCGGCTTAAATCGTGTTATAAATTTTTGCATTGCAACCGACCACGACTTAACACGAATGAACACGAATGAGTGCATGACCTTCATACGTTCTAACACGATTTGAGGAAAAAACGTTAAATTGTGTTCATTCGTGTTCAGATTCGTGAATGTGAGATAGGGGCTAAAGTACATACACTGTAAGGTGGCCCTCGAGGGCCTCTTGGTCGTGGTCACTGGCGTGTGACTTCCCGACTTCTGAAAAATGGATTTATACTAGTGTGTTAAAATAACACTGAATTTCACTCAAGGTGAAATTTGCTTCCTAATAGATAATAATTTGCTATGTGAAATTTGCAATGTCATCATACAATACACAGGGAATCATAATAAACATATTCGTACTAACATGTTTTCTGTATCTTAAAAATTTCTCTTATCCGTAATATAATATATCCAGCCTCTGTATCCAGCTACTGTTCGTTGGCTGTTAACAAATGTGGCTTCATCAACAAGGCTCTACATTGTACTACCCGGGGTATTGTTTTAAGTAACTTTCTTAGTGCTGACTTCAACTGTTTCTAGATAAGTTTTAACTGTTTGTCATGCTTCAGAAAGACAGGTTGATTTTGGGTAAGCATTACCAATTCAGAATGGTAGGCCGGTATATGTTTTGTCAATGTATATCTCAAATTATTTGTAGGAGCTGGTTTCCTTTTATTTAGGTATCTTAATAGTTTTTCTTTGTTTCAAAGAAAGTATTTTTCTATATGTATTGTAAAGAACTAAATGAGTTAAGGCTATTATTGTATATGTATTTTATAGAAATCAGTGTGTGCAGACTGTCACGTCTTCACTCTTATTTTTTTTGAAATCTGCAATATCTAATATTGAATTAAATAAATGATGTTTTTGAGGAATCATTATAGGTTAAAGATCTTAATCTATTTGACCTTGATGATCAAGGTCACTTTAGTCAACCTTATTGCAAGGATATTGTGAAAATAACTAATATTTAATGTGAGCTATTCGTTTTTCACCAGAATCATTATTCTGTAACATAATCTATATGCAGAACCATGTCCAAACCTGATTGTGGCCATGTATCACGACTGTAAATAATTTGATGTGAAATAAACATTGGGTTATCTCCAAAACCTGTATACTTTGAATAGACATATAAAGAACCAGTGGTTTTCTGTTTAAACATGTTTTACTATGGCAGTACCTGTATGTAGAAGGAGCAGTACCTGTATGTATAGGCAGTACCTGTATGTAGAAGGAGCAGTACCTGTATGTATAGGGAGCAGTACCTGTATGTATAGAGAAAGGTACATGTATGTAAAGGAAGCAGTACCTGTATGTAAAGAGAGCAGTACCTGTATGTATAGGGAATACCTGTATGTATAGGCAGCAGTACCTGTATGTATAGGGAGCAGTACCTGTATGTATAGAGAAAGGTACATGTATGTAAAGGAAGCAGTACCTGTATGTAAAGAGAGCAGTACCTGTATGTATAGGGAGCAGTACCTGTATGTATAGGGAATACCTGTATGTATAAGGAGCAGTATATGTATGTATTACAAGCAGTACCTGTATGTATAGGGAGCAGTACCTGTATGTATAGGGAATACCTGTATGTATAAGGAGCAGTATATGTATGTATTACAAGCAGTACCTGTATGTATAGGGAGCAGTACCTGTATGTATAGGGAATACCTGTATGTATAAGGAGCAGTATATGTATGTATTACAAGCAGTACCTGTATGTATAGGGAGCAGTACCTGTATGTATAGGGAATACCTGTATGTATAAGGAGCAGTATATGTATGTATTACAAGCAGTACCTGTATGTATAGGGAGCAGTACCTGTATGTATAGGGAATACCTGTATGTATAAGGAGCAGTATATGTATGTATTACAAGCAGTACCTGTATGTATAGGGAATACCTGTATGTATAGGCAGCAGTACATGTATGTATAGGGAGCAGTACCTGTATGTATAGGGAAGAGTATTTGTATGTATAGGCAGCAGTACCTGTATGTATAGGGAGCAGTACCTGTATGTATAGGGAAGAGTATTTGTATGTATAGGGAGCAGTACATGTATGTATAGGGAGCAGTACCTGTATGTATAGGGAATACCTGTATGTATAAGGAGCAGTACATGTATGTATAAGGAGCAGTACCTGTATGTATAGGGAATACCTGTATGTATAGGCAGCAGTACCTGTATGTATAGGGAGCAGTACCTGTATGTATAGGGAAGAGTATTTGTATGTATAGGCAGCAGTACCTGTATGTAAAGAGAGCAGTACCTGTATGTATAGGGAGCAGTATCTGTATGAATTACGAGCAGTACCTGTATGTAGAAGGAGCAGTACCTGTATGTTTAGGGAGCGGCACCTTTATGTAAAGGGAGCAGTACCTGTATGTATAGGGAGCAGTACCTGTATGAATAGGGAATACCTGTATGTATAGGGAGCAGTACCTGTATGTATAGGGAGCAGTACCTGTATGTATAGGGAATACCTGTATGTATAGGCAGCAGTACCTGTATGTATAGGGAGCAGTACCTGTATGTATAGGGAGCAGTACCTGTATGTATAGGGAGCAGTACCTGTATGTATAGGGAATACCTGTATGTATAGGCAGCAGTACCTGTATGTATAAGGAGCAATACCTGTATGTATAGGGAGCAATACCTGTATGTATAGGGAGCAGTACCTGTATGTATAGGCAGCAGTTCCTGTATGTATAGGGAATACCTGTATGTATAGGGAGCAGTACCTGTGTGTCTAGGGAATTCCTGTATGTATAGGCAGCAGTTCCTGTATGTATAGGGAATACCTGTATGTCTAGGCAGCAATACCTGTATGTATAGGGAGGAGTACCTGTATGTATAGGGAGCAGTACTTGTATGTATAGGGAGCAGTACCTGTATGGATAGGGAATACCTGTATGTATAGGCAGCAGGACCTGTATGTATAAGGAGCAGTACCTGTATGTAAAGGGAGCAGTACCTGTATGTATAGGGAGCAGTACATGTATGTATAAGGAGCAGTGCCTGTATGTATAAGGAGCAGTACCTGTATGTATAAGGAGCAGTACCTGTATGTATAGGGAGCAATACCTGTATGTATAGGGAACAGTACCTGTATGTATAGGGAATACCTGTATGTATAGGCAGCAGTACCTGTATGTATAGGGAGCAGTACCTGTATGTATAGGGA